AAAAATATTTAGGCTTTATCAAATTAAAGCCCCCCCCCCCTCTCTCCCAAAATAGACGGCCACCCTCTATTAGAAGGCCACCCCCTGTATAAGGCCACATTGCGACAAAAGTTCAAGCGCTCTATTAGAAGGCCATGCACTAATTAATTAATTAATTACAAAAATGCAGAATTTTTGACAAATATTAATAAATATTTATGGCAAAATAATCGATTTTTCAGTGTTTTTTGCGAAATCTTTACTGTCCTATCGTAAATAGTAGTTTTTTCAAAAAAATGCTCGTTTTTCAGTAAAAAACTCTAAAAACAAATAATTAAAATTATTAATTCATTTTTTATTTTTTAAATTAATAATTAGACAAAAATTGACCCTCAATAGAAGCCACCGAAAAAATAACGATGTGCTGAGACACTGTATAAGGCCATGTCCTTTTATTCTGGGGAGGGATTTATCTAATATTGATGCTGTATGATATGAAATCTATCCAAGAAAATAGGTAGTACTAGAAGAAAAGTCAACCCATCGGTATTCTTTTCAAATAGATCTCTACACGGAAAAATAACTATTGCACATACTAAATTTCGATGACAGTATCGTCATTCAGTTTTCTTCTATTTGAACGATATCAAAGATACTTTTATTTTAGTAACAAAATGATGAAATTGCGTAAGCTCTAGATTTATAAGAAACCAATGCAGATAAATAATAAAGAGATTATAGCAAAAATAATCTAAACTAAATAGGCAATGAAGCAAAAACGAGATCTAACAACGACAATACAACAACATCAAAAGTAAAATGTGAATAATATTTGTTGATTATGATTAATACACAAAATAAGAGAGAAACGAGTCAAGAAATTAGAAACAAAAATAAAATCTATCTTTTCAAAATAATACGATTTCATGTAACATGATTTAGTTCAGAGAAGAAAAAACGCTGTTGATTTAATGAATGCATTAATGTACGAGCAATAAATGCTGCCTGCGCAGTGGCTGCTTCAGGTACCAATTTCTATTCTTCCATTGTCTAATTTTCATGATTGTAATTCTTTTAATTCAAGTAAAGAAATTAAGCAAACAAAGGGTAAAAAGAGCTGAATGAAGTAGATTAAATAGAAAAAGACATTAAATTGAATACGTAAGAGAAACGTTGGCTGAAAAAACAGGCCTCGCAGCGGTCCCTCTTTTTTCCTTCTTTTCCCCCCTTCATACGAATAGGCGATCAGAAACATAGAAAAAAACTGATTAGCAATACCTAGTTAGAGTCTGACACTGACAAGGAGCTCTCAGAGCTCCAGAAAATGTTTAATTTACCTCAAGTGCAATGAAAAGTCCGTCATACTTAGGCTAACGTACGCATGTGGGACTTCAATATACATGGCGCCCACATGCAAAACTTGAGATACGTAAAATGGCGCTTCTCTGTATTTCGGTCACTGGTGAAAAGGATGGGGGCGCGTAAGACGTCGAATCGACCCATTGGTATTTTTCATGGCAAACCTCATTGAATTTTATATCAATGGAAAGAACAAGTTGACAAGAACATTTTGGTGATAAATTTATGAGGTTTTGATCATTAATTGAATGATTGATCCATGTACAGCGGATTCAATTCCAGCATAAATATATGAGAAAATGGTACTTAAATTATGAATTGGATAGCTCTTGAATTGGACTTCAATTCTATATATAAATTGTTGATTGATTATTTAGTTCCATGAGAAAAAGATTCAATGCATCAAGAAGTACTATTAGTTTTTGCTATATTTATCATTCTTTCTTATCTTTCAACAAAAATTTTAATTTTAAAATTGAAAGTATCAAAATTCTGGTTATACTGATTCGATAGCCCTTTTCAAAAGCTACAAAATCATGTATTTTTCAAAGTCGAACAAATATGGCCACTAGTAAAATTCCGAAGCACACTCTCCTCGTAGTACGATTTTTGGCTAGTATTTAGCCACTTTTTTGCTGCATAATGGCAGTCTAAGCTAAAACCAATATCGTATTTGATATCAGTATAAAAAACTGAGTCGATTCGTATATGTTTCAAACATGCTTGAGTCATTTGGTTTTCGTCGAATAATTTATAAAGTTCAATGGGGTTTGCCATGAAAAATACCAATGGGCCGATTTGATGTCTTATGCGCCCCCGTCCTTTCTGGCATGTACTCAGTGACAAAGCATAGCCGAACTTGAGCTATATCATGGCAGTAGTCTTATAGATGCCTGGGTGAATGACCTTTCGTTGTTTATCGATGTTCGATCGAGATTGTCGCTCAGCAGAACAGAAACGCACCGTTTTTATTGGTGTCGTTGTTGATGAGCAAAATCAGAAAGGCAACCGACATTCAGTAGTATGCAGTAACAGTGCTGATGAACGAGAATGGGGATGGCACGTGTAAGTTAATTTCAATTCAACTCGCAATCAGCGTTCAAGTTTCTACGCAGATTAAGTTGGCCAACCAATTTCAGACATGACTTTTGACTTCTCCGCTCGAACTATAGTTCTTAATGTGCTTTTCAACTTTTTCAATCGAGTTGAGGTTTCAGAAGAGACTTTTGACTTTTCTGCTAGAAAAAACCATAAGTCACAATTGAACTCGATATTCATCGAGAAATTTGAAAAGTATTTAGAACAGTGTACATTGGCCGAGAAACTGGGAACTTATCCAGTTAACCCAACTCGATGAAGGACGTAAGAATCTCACAGTAACGCCATTCAGAACGAGAAACCTTAAAAAGGGTATCTGGATCGAGGAAGTCGTAAGGCATCCCAATCCAGCAGGATATATCAGAAATATCGGATGACAAAAAATATCTTTTTACAAGTTGAAAGATGATTTCAAGTTGAATTCAGAATGAGAAGTCAGGCCTATCTCAGCCTGTACAGTAAAAGGAGTTTTCTTACCAAAGCTGCGTATGTCAGATGTGCAGTCACCTAGGCTAAAGCAGAAGAATATGCGATTTACAAGAGAGCATTTACCGCGATAAGGTAGAACAGCTCATGTAAATATGTGGGTGTCTACATCTTTTGCTTTAACAAAGACACACGAAGAGTAATTTGAATCTCTCGTGCCTTAGTCGGTTTTTGGAATTCGCTTTGTATAAAATCAACTCTGTGGATCTCAAGAGTTATAATATAAAAACGAAAGTGATGTGTGAACATCGAACATTTTCGAATGAAACAGTCAGTTTCGTGAGAGAGACGCGTGCTGCCATCATATGACATTCCTAAAGGTTTTATTATTATTTTTAGTCTTTGTGATGGAAGAAAAGAAGCACATTAGGTCAATAGTCGAAAAACACCAGCCAAGTATATTATATTGACTTCAAACTATGTAGGTTAGATTTAATTGCACGAGCTCTCATGATGACAAAAATAATTAGCTGTAGATTAGACGTGGAGACTACGCTGAGAAATGGAATCAACATGGAAAAAACATATTGCGCTTGAGCTTTGCTTTGTATTTGAAAAGCGTTCAAACGTAAATCAACGTTAAACTGTCGTATTTTTTCACATGCGATCATATTTTGGCGTTTTACATGGCTTCCTAGGTCGAACATTACGAAGACCTGATATGATCGTAAACGGCTGCATACGGCAACATATACTACAGTTTTATAACGTTTCCGACCGTAAATCGCCGTAATTTGACGCTTTGTCATGCACCATATTTCGCCGTGTCGTAAACGGTTACTAGCGGCCGTGTACGCCACAAGTTGATCGACCTGGGTTAGTATTAGGATCGTATATCTCGGTAACCGTATACGGAGAAATACAATCGTATATGAACAAATATGGATTAAAACAGAGGCTGTATAAAATCTCCATCTACGCAGACAGCAAACGAGCGCTTATTTGTCTGTGAACGATCGTATTTCCCCGTATACGGTAGGAAAGATATACGATCGTAATACTGAGCTATGGAAAACGCCGTATTTCTCCGTTTACGGTCGCTTGCCGGCGTCCCTGTTTGATTTTTGAGAACTCTAGCTGCGTCAAAATGTATTCAGACATTAACCGCGTCTCATTCAGGACACAAATAAACGCGTTTGACGTCTGAGACGCGTCTAAACGCACCCAACGGACGACCGCATTTGGGTTTAAATATATGCGTTCAGCAATTTGAATGCGTTTATATGCGTTCAACTGAAACAAAAACTGCATTCAGACGCACCTGGTCTGCGTTTGGTGTCTACATGAGTAGCCACTGTGCACTGTGTTGCCTATTTTTCAAGGACAGAGCGAGGATGCTGCTACATATCTCTAACGCCCTATTAACGGATAGGTTTGATTATACAAGAATTTTCGTGATCGCTACACGGCAAAGCAATACATGTGGGTGAGGGGTATTCGAAAATTATTTTACTCGCCTGAGCTCAGTCGTTTGTTTCTTATTGAACGTTGTATAAAATGTATTCGCTGCAGTGCTGTTGTACTCCAGGAGAACTCCTTCTTTCCTTTATTTCCTTCTTTTTTTTGAAAACATTCTTTCTCAAAAATCCTTCTTCTTGATACCCCCTGCTGCGATTTCTGTAAATGTTATACCTTTTTCTTTCTTAACAATCTTATTAATATATATTGTTAAAATTGTTATTCTTTCGTTTGTTTAAATCGTTAAACAGATGTTGTACAGTTACGCAATACATCTCTTTATTTCTTTTTTCTCCTTCTTTACTTTTATTTATGTGAACCTGTATATGGCACATTTTAATAAATGAAAAGAAAAACAAAGATGGAAAGTGCCAGCACATACGTCAAATAAAAACGTGAAAGAAACAAACAACAATTACAAAAATACGTATTTCACAAATAAATATTGATAAGTCTCAACAACAACAGCGATCAAGATAATACTACGCAGCAAGAAGGAACATGAAATAAATATGAAACAACACAATAGGAATGTTTTTCTTCTGTTACAGATTAACAATAACTATTTTTTATGGCTATTTAAATTCGGGATCTTTAAGTGCATGCCACTGAGCTATAGGTCTTCGAGGTGAGGCAAGCATATCAGACCAATGACGTAATTCAGAACCAGTTGAGCGACAACCTAAAGTAACTTTTCCAATAGGTTCAGACGTTCCAATACGATCATAATCAATAACATTGAGTACTAATTGTACTTTCTATAACAATTAATTATTGCTATTAATAATATGATTTTTTTCTACGTGAAAAAATGTTACCTGAACTTCTTCAAAGGTGATATCGAATGTAAATGATTCATTATAGTATGGGTTCAATGTGCATTTTTTAATGGACGTTTTCTTCTTTTTCTTACGTTTTCCATCCATCATTAATGCTAATTTTACATATGGATCTTGAACAAAAAAGTAATTAGCAGTCTCAATAAATGAATATATTTTTCTCTTTATTATTTTCATTTTCATACCTGAAAGTCCAGCAACATCCATCTTCCGTAGATTTTTAGCTTCAAGTATAGTAACTGTCAATTTTCCAGCTGTTGGCACATATCGAAGTGAAAAACAAATGTCACCATATTGATTCTCCTGTAAGACAAAAGATATTTATCAAGAAAATACAAAATGTCTTTCGTAAACATACAATATCTCGATCACTGGATGATGGTATCAGTTCTTTTATGTCTCTTACAACTTTTCCTAGATCTACTGCATTCAATGGAATTTGGACTTCACCAATGGCATCATGCCGTGAAAAACGGTCATGATCAATGACTGATAACACGAGTGTTTTACCACTTATTTCACTATAAAGCAAATCCTATTTAAAAAAGAAATTGTAATATATGCCTTTTACTTCTAATATATATATATAAGACAAACCTTAAATACAAAGGTTTCATTAAAAACAGGATTTAATGTTCTTCGATGCACTTTTGTTTCAAATTTTTTCTTCTTATCCGGTAATAAATATACTTTAACATATGGATCAGATAATCCATTCATGTCCAAAGCTGCTAATTCTTGTGCTTGAACAACTTCAACTTTGAGCTATGTAGTCAAAGAAAATTTTTATAGAGAAAATAATCATTCAATAAACTATGACTTTATTACTTCTTGTCTTTGAAAATCATAATCAAGTGAATATTCTAGCTTTCCTAAATATTGAGATTCACTTTTTTTTGAATCAGAATCATCATTATCCATATTTTGAGTTAATTGTTCAACGTCGGGTTGAACCTATGAAAATAATCATGCGCAAATCAACAATAATACTAATGATGTTATTTGTAGGGAATTAAAAAAAAGCTTCTATGCTATCATTTCAATTCCTATTAATCAATCAATCAATCATTGCTGAGTCATACCTTAGATTTTTTGAATCCAAATTTCTTTAGCCCTTTTAAGCTGATACCTTTGCCGCCACCCTTTGATTTTCTTTTACAGCAACTTTTACACGTTTGACGTATACAACAAGCCAAACCAATAGATATTGCCAAAACTACGACAAGAGCAATGACCAATGTGGTCGGTGATGGCACTAGTATTAAATAAATAAAAAACAACGATATATCGAATGTCTTAACATTGAATCGAAAAGTAAATATTTTCTTTATGAAAAGAGGTCTTCGACTGACATAACTATTGACGCAATCGATATATCGACAAGAAATGATTGTATTATTTTCCTTTTTTTTTGTCGAATGTGTACGATGATTTGCTCTAAAATGTGCGAACAAAAACATAACTGCAGTCTTAGTTTTATATTATGAATTTGTTTGATCAATTAATTCATTTTTTCTGTTCTATCATTTGTTTAGTAAATCGTATTTGTTTAGTTAAATTTTTCAAATCACGAGCAAATGAAAACACGTTTAAATTGAAATAGAATTGCGACGAAACTTACTTGAGTAAAAATAATGCAAATATTTGCCGTCACACTACTAGCTAGATATAAAGCAGTAAAACAGTGAAAGAAAATCACTGAAGAATAGCAAAAAAAAACCTTGCTGTCGCTTTTTCGCCAACCTTTTTCTCCCTTCTCTGTTACTGTACATCAATGATCACAGCATACTCGTGCAACGTGTCTGTATCTTTTTTTCACTAATCAGTACATAACATAATTTCTGGTCGCTTACCGACCATTATGCGTTATTTCACTGAGGCGTGGGATGAGAAGAAAACCAGACGAATGACAGGCTGTACATGGATAAGAAATACAATATAAAAAAAAATCTGTAAAATACACAAAAAAAATATATTTATTTATATATAATATATATATATATATATATATATATATATATATATATATATATATATATATATATATATATGTATAGTTCTGTTTTATGTGTTTAATGATGTGTGGGTTGACTTGGATAGAATGACGAACACTTCGTATGTCTGTGTTACAGTATGTACATCTACAGGTTGCTACGACAAAAACCAAGAGTTCTCAGTGGATTGCTTCGTTTTTGTTGTTGTTTTTTTCGAATGACAAATGCTAATTTTTAAGAATAATCGTCCTACATGAAGACTTAGTTACATTAGTATTCTGTATGGATAGAAAATAAATGACATTTTAGTAAAAAAACAGGATGAAAAATATATCATTTCATTTAGATTATGAAGTAATGTCATAGGACAAATGTTACAATGTATTCGTTTCTCTTTTCTTGTTATTTAAACGGAAATAAATAACAAATCTTCTTTGTTTACATTGATTTTGGCATGATGCATATAGATAAGCATAGATAAATACACTTCTATCTTTAAGACAGAACGTTGGAAAGTGGCATTCTTTGTATGAGATGGCATCATCGAATATGAATATGTCTGTGTCTGTCATTAGACTATCTATGTTATTCTCATCATCTTCTTCTTTTTTAAAGAATATCTTTTGCATACTTACTATTACTAAAATGATTTTTCACCACTTTCTGGTCAACCGGTTTGGCATGGTCATATGAATTTTCAGTATTTAGTGATGAAAAAATAGTTGATGAAGAACTTGCAATAAATGATTCATAATTTTCATTGCCATTGTTTTGATAGTAATCTTGCTCTGACTTGTCGTCGTTTGGTAGAATTTCTTGACGAGGAACTTGTCGATATCGTAAAATACTCATAGTATTAATTTAATTGTTCAAGAATGATGAAAGGATAATAGCAAAGAAAACGAATAATTCGTTTACTTGTTGATTTAATAGTGCTTTTCAATATTTTTATTTGTTTATATTTCTAAAGAGAAAAGAGGTTCTAATTTCTGTTGATTATTATCATAAAGGTAGAAATGTTGGTTTTGTTGGTTTATAAGAATCTTATTGCGTGATTATTATTGTTATCAATGAAATAATTAAAGACTCGTAAACCAGAATAGGACAAATGAGCATAAGATGAAACATGATATTATAAAGAATGTGTTCTATGGTAGGATAAACAGCAATCGACAATCGATAGGAAGTAGAAAGAGAGAGAAAATACTAAAAGAGCAAAAATCTAATGCTCGAATATGTTTGATATCTGTTTTTTTAAATTCATCATCAGCAAAATGACAATAAAACGTTTTTTTTTTCTATCATAGTTTTGAAAAAGTAGAATAAACCCATCGATTATTCTATTTATATAGTATCATGTGCAAAGATAACTGGATTCTGACATATAGGATATGACTTCTCGCGGTAATTTTAGTCAGCTCACTTGCTGTAAAATATTAGTGACCGTCTCGTGCAGCGATTAAACAGGATCGAAATAGTAGCAATGATTCAGAAAAGCAAAAAATGAAATATTGTTTCTCTTTATATCAGAATTTTACTTAGTGCTGTCTACTCCCATGAAAAAAAGGAATGAATTTTTTCTTAATACTTTTCATTGGTTTGTCACGCCCTCAAGAAGAAGGATAACTGTACAACTGCTGAGAGAATGGAGTGCTTGTTACTAGTGTTGACGTTCTTTCTATTCTCTATTCTCTGACTCTTATAAGCATCGATAATTATTTCGAAGCGGAAAAGATATCGAGCAACTCGCCATCGGTTTTCTTTTTCTTGCCTTGTCATCATCGTTTCTCTTGTTATTGCTATTATCTGAAGCATAAAGAGAATGTTGTTGATTTCCTTAGCATATGATACAATGTTCAATCGACACAAACGATTCTTTTTATCTCATTTCATACGTATGGGAATAAAAACCAGAACATTTACTCTCATAGAAAAGCATGACGCTGTACGGCCTTCTGTCAATGTCACTGACACGTTGTTACGTACGTGTCGATGAGTATTTATCTATACAAGTGATGAAAAGATTGTACTTCTCTATTTCATACATCTACCAATTGTTAAAATCAACAAGTCTATACATAAATCTAGATGAGATGATGGAACAGTTAATCAAAAAGAAATTATCTATGGAAAACAAAGATTAGCCAATAAAGACACAAACAGAGAAAGAGAAATTGATGAATAATATCCATTTGAATTAATATGACAAAGTTACTTCAACAGAACGACTTACTTATTGGAACCGTAGGAGGCAGAAACAAATAGGCTACATATTGTTTTTCTTTTTTATAAAGTGCTAGAAATAATTACTATTTTTATTCAACCATAGAATAACATATGTATTTCTAATACTTCTTCAACAGGAATGATTACTTTGAAATACAATGACTCATCAACTGCTGATACATGTCCTTGTGTTCTTACTTTTATATGTTCGAGATTATGAATGAATAAATTAACATTTATTATTAAAATAATCTGCTACGGTTTCTTCACTTGTAGAATCAATAAAGACGAAAAAGAAAACGTCGAGAAGTAGGAAAGAAAATGTTTTACATATGCTCCTCGAACTTCATTTTAAAAATTTCCAAAAAACAAAGTAACCAAATAGTCTATTTGTCAAGTGTAAAGTTCATCCATGAAATGAAAAGTTTCGATTTCTCTATTAATCCACATGCCCATGAATAATTGTATCGATAAAATCATCATCAAAATTATTTATCTTTCTAACCGACGAATTTATTGTTACAATGATAATCTGAATAGGATGACTGGGAAGTTCACTTTTGCGAACAATCGCACAACAACAATTATTAGGAAAATGTTAATACAATTTCATGTATATAAAATACTCTATCACTGTTATGTCTTTCGAATACGGCTGACAATTGCAAAGTAAACTATCTCAAATATGCTTCTGCAAGATATAATGATAGATTGGTTACGTCGGCAATTTGTTTTTCTATAAGTTTGTATAAACGAAATGTCATGTAGAGCGAACAAGTGGTTCAGAGTAATTCTCATTGGTTACAAATCTAAATCATAAGTGTTCCTTTTGTATAAATTGCATCGAATGTTCACTGTACATAATCAATGGACGACTCTACCTTATGAACTTACCCTTATTAACATTAGTTTAATGACATATCCTGAATATTGATAATGAGAGGGCAGGAAGTTCAGTTGGTTATGTTTCGGGAGTGAATATACTTGACACGATTACAACCAGTAGGGGTTCTGTTCTGTGGTTATAACACTGAATGTTTTAATGAGTTCATACAATTATATTTCTTTTCTATATAGACTCTTCGAATATAGAAATGATTTTTAGATTATATAAATTTCGATGGAGTATAGATCTCGATAGTATTATTCTTAGCAATAATTTTGAATAATAAAAGGCAGTAAACTACAAGCATTCGAAAATAATAAAAGAGTCTATATATTGTGCATCACTACATAATGTGCGAATAAAATTTTAAGCTTTTCTTTAGTCTGAAATTGCTCATGCACTCAACGTAGATATTTAATACAATATTTTCTCAAAGGTAATCTTACGAAACTAATATGTTTTGCTTCCTTTAATAATTAAACTTTAAAAAAACATATTCTCAATATGAGTTTGATACACTCAGCCAATATTAATTTTGTTTCGCAACATAAATTTACTCAATAAATATTTTCCATTTTAATAACTTGTCTACATATTACCCATTCTGTTTTTATTTTATATAGATATAGTACATTTTCATATTAGTGTATTATATTACATATAACACAAGTATAAATTCTATAATCTTAAGTCAGTAACCATTGATCCTGATGTTTTTAAAATTGTTAATGTTCCTGCTGCATCATAGGGTGCTCCATATATAGAGTCATTTATCCATCCACCTTTTTTCGATGCACTAAGATAACCTTCAAGATGATCAAGATGATAATCAAATCCTTCTTCTGTATTAATTCGTGGTAATGGTATATGATTAAATCTGTAATCCCAAATGCTAGCATATTGAAAACGATATGATCCAAAAGCAAATATTATTCCAATGATTGATCCTGCTAAAATATCATACCAATGATGAGAATGATCGATCGTTACTGACGAAGCCATAAGAACAGCACCAAGTAATGGTGCATGAAAAAGTACTAATTTCCAATATTGTGCACGATAGTTAGCAAAAATTTTCAATTTAGCATTCAGATATAATGAACAATAAATAAGTCCAGCAAAAGCTGCTGTTGCATGACCTGATGGCATTGATGCGAGTGCATCATTAATTTGTTTGACATCACCTGTACATATTGAACGATCAAACATAATACCATCAAAGCCATATCCTGTACCGGACATTGATGGGCTGATATTTGGTTTACAAATGGAAAGAAAATTTGGTTTCAAACCACCAATAAGCCATTTAATCAATACTTGAAAAACTCCAGCCGATATCAATGAGAACAAAAGACCCATGATGGCTGTATTAGCATCATTAAAACTACGTATACGTATTTGCATTAACATTATAATTACAAATGGAATAATAAACGATAACAGTACAGCTAACCATATTGGAATAATCTCTTTACGAAATGGATAACCAAATTCAGGATTAACGATTTCACCATCGGCAAAATAAATAGGAAAAAGATGATTGGGTATCGTTCGAAGAAAATAAACACCAAGAGCGAAACCGCCTAATAAAGCCATTAAAAGATAATCCATCCAAAACATATAAATGTAAAGTCTGAATGTCATTGATCCATTTTGAAATTTTGAAGAATCAATGGTAGGATTGTTTGTTTCTGTTCGGTCCATAGCTAGAACTGATTCCCGATTTTTATGCATTGCTTCTAATGTTCAACAAGATACGTTAACAAGTAAAAGAAAAAATGAATGTCGTAGCAGATGTTATGATTTGCGTAATGATCATACCGTCGAACGGGGGAAAGAGCACGAGAAAAAACACTACGAAATTTTTCAATATTCGGCTTTGAACGAAAGGGATAAAATGTGATCATTTGTGTTTTTTCTTGTCATGATTATGCATACTATCGAATCGGTATGCCGTAGAAATCTAATCAAAGATAAGATGTTACTTATTTACTTGAAGATTAATAGTTATGCTTTAATCTGTCATTAACGTATGAATGAACTACATGATAAAAGATATGTAATCCAAACAAAATAACTAATGACATTTAGTATATAAATGTAGTCGACTTTGTTCATGTCGAAAATAAAAATTTTAAGTCTGACATCATACGATGAAAATCTAAAATAATATGGTTGCTAATGGAAGTAAAGTATTGTTGGAATTCACCAAGAAAATAATCGAAGAATTAAGTCAAAATAGGGCAAAAGCATTATCACTGAACTTAGTACTAGATAATCAAAATCGAGATCTATTAATAGTTTCAGTCATAAACAAAAATAAACATGTTTAGAAATCGTGATAGAATTATTGACTGTATTACTGATTCGATCATCTCTGATGATCATCAAGTGCATTTCTTATGTTATCAATGAAGCTAATGCTTCACAATTGAAGTTAGTATAGAAGACAAGAGCTTGTATCATCACCAAGAATAAAAGTCGATATAAAAATGATTAAAATCTAAAGTATAACGATACACGATTTGCATATTTTAAATAGTCAACGTATTCATTTTACATCTTTGCTGTTTTTACCCATGATTCGCGTATTGTTCTCATTGTAGATATCTTAACAATATTCTCTGACATTTTTTCAGGTTTACACTGGATTTTTCTCAACATTCCACTTGATCAGTAATGATTTAAGAATGAATTCTTTAAATGATTAATCAAAAACATAATCGAATACGATCTATTCGAACTGAATCGAGCACTGAGCAATTATTATAATACTCTAACAAACAAGTCAAAGCCTATACTGAGTTAAATGTTAATAGATAAAACAACACGATAATAGTTCATAATGCTTCATCAACAGACGGTTAGACCTTTGTTGAACTATGTTGTGTATTTGAGAGTTATCGAGAAATAAAACATTCACCATTCTTACCCGAAGTTCAACAAGTCAAAATGTCTTTTACATCGGGCTAAGAATCAGCATCTGGCAATATTAATAACTAGATAGTGAAACAGGTACACTTTTTTTACTGATGAAGTAATCTCTACGAATGATTCTTCTCTATATGAATTTATTGCTAGAGACACCAACCAAACATATCTTCAAAAACAATGAAACCTATAAAGGATTGGTATATTCATTTTTTTATTTTTCCTCGTTGGAATGAAACAACTTCTTCACATGAAAACAAAAACTCGTATACGCCTTGACAATAAACATAGTTATGAATAGAGGTGATCCTATCTACCTGTGGTATGTATTGAATCAGCTTATGTTACCTTGTTTCATTTTTTTGGTAGATTAGTAAATCAATGTGTGAAATTGGGGATTAGTACCTAAAGAAATAATCTTTATAAAAACATCATCATCTGAATAAAAAAACGTCATTTATGATAAAATATCTAAAATTCAGAGAATTAGCTGTTATAATATTTGATGCAACACACGAAACGAAAGCGTTAGAATAGGCAAATATTAAGGTTAACATATTATTAGATTCTTCTGGATTAAAATACTACAGTTTTAAAAAAAGATTTTCTTTTTCTTATCTTGTATACAAAGCATTGATACAATTTAACGATTAAGACATTTATTTTCGAAAAAATATTGTTTATTGCACATAAAAACTACAGAGCACTTATTTCGAATCTTTAGGGGAATTCTATCATTTAATTTAGTTTGAGCATGATCCTCTAACTAATTGACTTAAATTCTTCTCGGCTGCTAATGAAAATGCATATTTACTCAACATGAACAAGGATTCAGACGATAAATGATTATATTTTGTGGCTAAACGATTTGAATACATTGAATTCTTAAGTTTGTTGTTTCTCTTAGCAGTCTCGTTGATTTTCTAGCTATAATAATTCGTCAAATTGAAAATAAAAATAAATCAATCTTTCATTAATTTATCATGAATAAGTTAATGTTAGCGCTTACGTATTCATATTTTTCCTCAGTACGAGGTTTCAAAATTTTAACGATGACTCTGAAGTATTGATTCATTTTGAAAATTTTCCACAAAATAGGTCATATTTTCCAATCATAACATACTTTCATGCTTCATGGTAAATCATTTGCGTCTATACTGTTAGTTTGATTTATTCGCGTGATTATAGAAAATAGATCTAAAAGCTTGGTTTTTAATCTCTTTCGAGTTTTGCAATTCTTTTTTTTCAGAAAACTGATTTCAATAAGTATCATTAGAAATGTAGCGTGAAAATCCTTTACTTGGCTGCTGATATATAAATAGTTCAAATGCAAAGTTGTCAAATCCTAAAATTCGAATTCATAGTCGAAGGAAGATTCTACTTCGTTAGTCTGGGCTCGATGTTAAATCTCATTGCCAGAATAATTGTATCAGATTCAATGAAGATTCTTGCTAAAAAAATTTCCTTCTTCAGTATCAATCAAAAACATAACGAGTTCTTTTATTATATATTTTAGTGAGATTCTGCTGATTGCAGTAAATGAATCACGAAAGTTTTATTCGCCGTTGTAACCAGATTGTTAGCTAAATTGTAATGTTCAGTGTTCGTTGTGTGTTTATTATTATTATTATTATTATTATTTAAAGAAGTAGTATTGTTAAAAGTAATCGAAAAATAACGAATTTCATAAATGATATTCTTTTTGTCACGATTCTCTATTTCTCTAATGAAAATGTAGCATATTTTACTGTAGCTACAATGTGAAAAAAAATCTCTTTTCACTTATCTCCATGATCATGGTTATTTTAGTGACAAACATTGTAAGATAACTACCACATGTATGTTATACTCTAATCGATACCACGGTTTATTCTAGGATAGAAGACCTAAGACAGACGCTTTTTTTTATACGAGATTTATGTCTAAAAGACATAGTTCGGCTATGTAATGTTTTGATGGATGCACACAGTGGTAACAAGAGAGATTACAAAATTCATCTATAACACAAAGAGAGTCCGTCAAAAAACATTCTACATAGGAAGTGTTGATCTACCATTTGTCTTCGCATCAAGATAATACAATATATAGAAAACCGCATAGTAGCAAAGCAGTTGTCTAGTCAATCAAAGACCGACGATGTCAACATTATCATGTATTGTCGTGCTATCCTTGGTTGATTTCGTTTACTAGATATTTTATTATTTCTCGACATTGAAGAATAAGATAAATAAAACGGCGATCAAAATAAAATGAACATATTCATTGATTAGAAGATGAGCAAGTTTCATTCAACAATAATTCTTTAGAGAAATGTGTAAATATATTACAATGGGCTAATGCTCTCAATTGATAAGATATTAGCTTCATGTCAATGTAAATAAAATCTTTCTAATTAAATAGAATATTTTAACTTTTTTATTAAACATATCCTCGAATTATCGTTGACATTCATTCCATCGTAAGGTAACATTTCATGACAATTGCCGAACTTGTTTCGTTTTCGTTGGTAATCTTATTAACCTTTATTTATACCCACAGTTGGGTTGATCTTATTTATCAACAATGACATCGACACATAAGGGATTAATTCTTTGTTGTTTTATCTACCATACGCGTAATCGTCTCCTGAATATATACTTACTAGTATTTCTAATATATGTTTATGTTAATAATCAGTAGGACTAAGTTTTGAATGTACAGTATTGATATTAATACGTATTTTGTTTTCTTCAATTACATATGATTTACATTGCTAATTACTTCCAAGGCTACAATTGCGAATTGTGCTAATTTAAAGTATCAAAATGAAGATGAATCTTGATCTCTGATAGGATACACTATTTAGTTTCCCTTGATGGTTTGACAATTAAATCATTGGATAATGATTCTTTAGGGATTTTTTTATGGCATGTGTCTATTACTTTTGATAGATTGAATCCTTGAAAATTTCCCAATCTTATTAGTTTGTTATGTCTAACATATATTAAACTTATCAGTCGATTAACTCTTACTAGCACGATTAATTACTAGTGTTCTTGTTTAGATAATAATATCGCAACCTTACATAGTATAATATTATTTAATCATGTGAAATTTATAAAAAAAAAAGAGCATTTGCTTTTGGTTTATTGCTGAAAAACTATTTTAAAAACTCTTTAAAATTATCAACCACAATATCAATATTTTTCTGTATAATCATTATATATTCTCTCCGTGTAAATAATTATTTATAAAAAAAAAGACGAAAAAGAAAAGTAAATTGAAAACAAATAGTATACAGAAACTCATCTGGGAATCAAAGCAAAACAAAAAATGCATTAAAAAACACAATATATATATATAGATAAAACAGTAAATAATATAAAGCCATTTTCTATTTTTGTTCACAAGTTACATTCGAATAGGGCATTTGGCAAATCAAGACAATGAGACTAACGAAAGACTGAAGGATATAAGGTAATAGGTATTAATATATACTTGAAATGGAATGTAGATGTTAAATATATATGGTAGAATAATCACAATCTGGTTATCCTTACATCTGGCTCATCTGAACTATCACTATCTGTGATAGGATGCTCAGATACCATGGTCTCATCTTGGTAAGCAACAGCCACAGGTGAATTCTCACGTTTCATTCTCGTTGGTTTTAACTTCGAAGGTCCTGGACCAGATCGTTGACTACTCAAATGATCTAAATAAGAAATGAATTCTATGTAATATTTAATTGAAGAAATATAATTATTTTTTTAATTACCACCATTTCTTAGAAATGATATTTTATTTGATAGTCCATTGGAATTTCTTTGAGCATCAAAATCACTACTGAATCCTGTTGTTTTGGGTCGCCAACGACTTAGTCCACTTGATGGCGGTCTGAGAGTATTTGATGAACTCGAAGATGGTGGGTTTTTTTTAGATTTTTTTTTATCTACTTTAATATAGCCTAAATCACAATATGATTTAAATAAATGAAGACTAGTATCGAAAAATCGAGAATCATTCGAAAATATAATTTGATAATTTTGTCTATCGTTATATAATAAATTTGATGGATCCATAGTTTCATCATTGGGTGGCAGACTGGGTGTTGTATTCGAAGATGTTGTTGAATTAGTACGACGTTGATGTTTAAAAGACATGATATGTATTTAATAATTTTTTCTCATTAAAAATAACACGAACTATAGTATATACATTAAAGAATATCTACATTTGATAATAACGAGTCACTGCTGAAAGTTATGTTTTGGCTTTTATTCTGCCTGTCTATCTCTCATCTTGCTTGCTCTCGTTTTCTTGTTTTTTTTCTCTCAAATATATTTTGCACCGTGCACCTATAATTTGACAGGTACACTAGAGGACGCTAATTGACAATGTAGTACTTTTTCTTTCTTCTTCTATATGATAAAAGGGAATAATGAAAATGACTTTTTAATGAATCAAGATAAAAAGAATATTTATTGCTAGCACTTGAAACTTAACTGAATAGCTGATCAAACTATAGTATAATAACACAGTATTACTTTTTTTTACTATTTAAAAATTGTAGACGTTGAAATGAACTATGAGCACAAGAAAGTTAGCACAACAAAACAGAGCTCATGCAGATACACTGGATTGACTGATCGAATAAATTTATTTACATTCTACGACAGAGTGTGGGTGTCACTGAAAGGTAAAATAAGAGTAACACTCACGCACCCAACCCACAATTAATTACTTTCTCTGTATCCGTTTAGCGTGAATAATTAGATGATTGTACAGAATTTGTATTTATTATGCTTACGTTGTTATGCTATGTATGATCTAATTAACATAAATTGCTTTGCCTATTTTGAAGTTTTTTTTCTTTTGTGCTCATCTTTCCTCGTGCTCAACTTTCACCAATCCAATGTAGCGCCCCAGGTCGAACAGTCCGGCCTGGTATAACGGCCGGTTCCGGATAGTTCCGTTGATTTTGTCGAAGCAGTATTCCGGTTAGAAAATTTTCGGATTTTTTCCGATCAATTCCTGCCGGAAAGCACCGGAACTTGACGGAAATCCGCCGGAAAAGTTCGGCCGTATTCTTGACCGGAATACTGCTTCCACGTTCCAGCGATTTCCCGTGTTTTCCTGCAGGATATCGTGACTTTCCCGCATATTTCCTGGAGTATCCTACGGAATCCAGTGACCGGAATGTTCGAGTTGGGTAGACATGGAAGAAAAACAATTATATAGAGGGACACACATTGAACAGAATTGCAATAAACTTATTGTAATAGCCAGGTGAATGAATCGACAGTGAATCCTATGGGAATCATTCTCCTCGATAGATTTAATATAGAAATATATGCAAAATTATCAATTTCCACTGACATGAAGTTTGTGAATTCTTCATAAGTTAATGTTCATCAACAAGCAAGAAAATATCTGAATCTTTTTTACTATGATAATAAAGTAGGCGGCTTATCACTTCGTACACAGTGGTGGTTGAGAATCACAATCATCTTGACCATATTCAACTTGACATTTCCCCTCCAATTTGTTTTGGAGTTCCATAACTTTCTGTTTTAAAGTATCCACGTACAATTTAACCCAGGACAAACATTGCGACGATCTGATACGATCGTAAACGGCCGCATACAGTAACGTATACTGCTATTTTATAGCGTTTCCGACTGTATACGATCGCTTTCGGCACAAGGAAAAACGACCCGTAATATGGCGCATACCAAACGGTCGTGTGCGACCTATGTTGGTCGACCTGGGAAGCCTTTTTAGGTCAGCGAATAGTTTTTCATTTAAATTAGTCATACTTTTATTTTGCTCTTTGAGTTTACTATTGTCTTCTTCAGATTGACGAAGCTTTTCTTTCAATAATTCAGTATTCTTATATTCACCTTTTGGTGTTTGATTCTAAAAAGGAATAATAGATTATTTTGTTTAGAAATAATACAATAATCAGCAAGTTATGCGTTTTATTCAAGCGATAGAGTAATCAATGACTACCCAGGTCCAAGCAATCGGCCCGGGAAACGGCTGGTTCCCGCTCATTCCCGCGATTTCACGGAAGCAGTACTCCGGACTGGGAAATCTCCGGATTTTTCCTTGTAAATTCCGCCAAGTTCCTGCTGCTTCCAGGGTCCGTTGATATCCGGCGTTTTCCTGCATGTTTCTGGCCGGTTCCAATTAAATCCGCTCATTTCCGGAGGCCGGAAACATCGTCCTGGGTAGAAGCACTACTTAAATATCTACGTAATATTCAAATCTACACTTACTTCTTCGTCACTAGTGCGCAATATATTTTCAGACATTATCTGTAGTTTATAATGATCACTAAATCTAAAAAACACAAGAATTCGCCATTAACTATATACCATTTGGATGCACATGGTTGAAAATATTATATAATGAATTAAATTTCTTTCTGAAATTAGGACATCTCTTTGTCATCGATGAAATCATATCATGAACCTCTACCAGAGCGTTCCAAAAAAGAAAAATTTCATATCTAGATAGCGTCACTGTGAAATATTCTATTTCATACAGTGGATTAGCTCCCAATGAACACATTTCGAGAATTCATAAAATATCTATGGAGTCAACAAAAAGATGATATGAATAGTATTAACAGTGCACTTCTATCATTGTGAGCGAAACGTCGAAGTCTCAAAATGGAATTCATATGTTTCACAGATGAGGATTTTTCAATATTAAACATTTTTCAAAATTTCTGCTGTACATTGATTCTATCTCTTGTTTTATAAAACAAAATTAATTTTTTCCTTTAATATGATTTCAAATTTGATTCAACAAAAGTCATACAAACAAAAGAATATTTTAATAATTCAAACTTTAATTATTGATCTTTATTCTTACAAATTCTAATTTAAATGATTTTTATTTGAAATAAAATTCGATCGTACTGAAATATTACGAATTGTAAATCTCTTCATTTAATAGTCATCGAAATTGTATAGTAGAAAAATATTTTTGATTTACTTATAACGATTTCATGCTTGCAATGACCGTATCTATGATAGATATATTATTAATAAAATTATACCCAAAAATATATATCTATAATTGACATGATTTACAGACAAAAAAGAAAACAAATTTCAAACTTACAAGACATAACAAAAATAGATTCATGTTTTCATATCTAACAATCGACTCAACAATTTGAATAATAAAAATATCATGTTTTTTCCTCTAACAAAACAATAATTTAAATAGAAATAGATGAAAAACTCCATAGTAGACAAAAACTACTCATTGAACGGTCAAGATGTTTTGTTGGATGATGCATAATCATTATGCAATTGGCACTATCAATGCATGTATGTGACACAATCCAATTTCAGTTTTTTTTTCTCGTTCGCTTTCCTTTCCATTTTCATTCTGCATAAGATGAAGTTGTTGTTTAATTTACTACCATAGAATAGCTACTATACATTTTCACTTCTAGTCACTTTTACTCATTCTTGTTTTGATTTGCTTTCAAGTTCGAAATGATACCTATATACAACATATACATATACACTAGTCGAGTATATCAGACATTAGTTAGACTTCCTACGTCTCCTGTGATTATGTCATATAACCCAATAACAACAGCGTTAGGATTCATTCGACTCTTCTCTTTTCACACGATAAATACCTTTAGTCACCATCTTATTTCATTATTTGAACATCAATATAAATGTATACATATATTCAATCTATACATAGGTGCTTACTACACTAATGATGATCATCAACTCGAATATATGTCATAGTCGACGTCGACGCCGTCATCGTCTTTTGTTTTTTGATTGAAATAAATCTGTTAACACTTTTCGCACTTTTCTCGCTCGAATAAATGAACATATAGGTTTGTCGCTAAATGATGTCTAAGCTTTTTACGCGTCTCTCGGTCCCTTTTTTTTGTCTTCTTTATCGTTTAAGCTATTCGAATGGTAACATCAATAGTATTTCATCATAAAATACAACACAATAGTAAAGTGAGCAACAATAATAATCGTTTGCCATTAAGAATGTGTAGTATTCATTTGTAAATGAAACACAATGAAACATTTTTATCTTGTTTATTTCTTTGTATTTAATAGCTGGAAATATTTTTATACTTATGACGCTTTGTTTTTTGCAAATTTTTATTATTGAAAATCAAATAGTATTGGATAAAGTTGAATCATATTTTAATCTTCATACATAAACCTATGTAGAGACCATATCGATGAAATCGATTATACAAATAAAATCGCTTAAATTCACATTTCTGTCTGTCTCTCTCTCTCTCTCTCTCTGTTTTTTTTCTTGCTTATCTTGATAATGAGAAGTCAGTGATTAACACTTTTTGTTATTTCTCATCGGTATAACTATGACTTCCACTCACTCTTGAAGACCTAGTCATCGCTGACATCATAAGAAAGTTGATGACGCCATATATACTATCGTGAGCATACCAAATCAATGACTGAACTTGTTCTCCTCTCTTTCTCTAGAGAGAGAGAGACAGAGGAAGAGAAAAGAGAGAAATCTCATCTCCTTCTTTCGTTCTCGTTTCGCATAGAATATCATACATACACAAGAAAAAAAAACATACATTTACACATTATTGTATAGTATTATCCGTCGTTGTCATCAATCTATTTACTATCAATTGAATATATTTAATTGATTTTTCTTCTAGTAACACAAATATGAAGTAAGTCGTGCTTTGTTTTTCCCCCTTATAATATCCTACCTCTCCTTCGGTTCAACCGATGGAATAGGCGTATGCGTATGATATATTATGAACGTATTGATTCGCCTGTTTTTCTTCATTTCACACATCGTATTGCATCCAGTTTGAAATGTAATCATATGTACTTCAATGATTCCTTTCTTTTAAAACATCTATGTATATTCGTCACCCGATAATTGATCTCTAAAGTATACATATACACAGCTTGATATTTCACGTTCACATGTCTTCTTATCGTTTCTGCTAAGATGATCGCACATAATAGTATAGTAGACTACCTACCTATCGAACTACCTTGATCAAAACGTCGCATCTAATTCTTTTTCATTTTCAAATAGATTTTAATGCACTTTTACACACACGATGAGAAACGCATGTGTCAAGGTTCTTCCTCACTGATTCGAAAATAAT